CCACGACACAGCGCCCCTGCTTCAGGTGGCGCCCAGGGCGTGTGCCATATGTGCCATACCCTGGGTACAAGACTGGGGGGGGGGTCTGTATAAAGTACAAAATAAGCCTCATCATTGGTGTCAGTGATATCAAATGACAACGCAGGCCGCAGCCCCCTAATCCTCCACCAGGAGACACTCTCTGGTAATGTTTGGCGGGTTGCAAGGGCAGGAAGTGATGAAACTCAGAGACAGGAAGTGATGTCACCTATAAATAGGAAGTTCTTGGCTGAGAGGTGAAGTTGGGAGGAAGTGGAGAGAGAGACATTGCTGGGACTGGCAGCAGAGGAGGTAATGAGATATTATAGTGTCGGGAGGGATGATGACCTCTACGAAGAGACTTTATGACCGGGTTGAGGAATACGGTTCCTGGAGAAGGTCCATTAATATGAAACTTGCTCATGAGAAAGTGGTCTGGAGGTGTCCATAAGAGTCGGGGGTCCTGTAGTGGCATCAGATTGGATGTGCGGAGTGGCCAATATTATCTGAGCCCATCAGGAGGTCAGCTGCAACGGGTCGGGTGGTGGTCACGAAGTATAGTCCTCTCACCCATCGTATTGGAATGGACCATGCGGGTAACGGGGGGGAGGGGGGTAACCATTAGGAAATGATGAACGGTTAAGCTCGGATATCCTGACATTGCCCCATTGACTGGTTCTCTTTCATGTAGAGATGTCCCCGGTGTCACTCGAAAGGTTTCATTCTATAGATGAGGATAGATATATCTCCAGGTTCCACCTTAGTAGTCCTCCACTGTGATCTCCTTGCCCTTATCAACAAGCTGCCCACAGGAGATGGGAGTATCTAGAAGGACACCGGGATCTCTACAAGGACGTGGTGATGGAGAATGCCCCGCCCCTCACATCACCGGGTAAGAGGAGAGAGCAGTACGGAGGCTCCGCCTACATCCCCCATCATCTGATACACACATAGAAACAATGTATTCAGTCAGTGTGTGTGTTTCCTACAGATGGATCCAGTAAGAGGAACCCACCAGAGAGATGTCCCCGCCCCCTGTATTCCCGGGACTCCACCCAGGAAGATCTCACCGTCCCCCGCCATGATCAGGTAGGTGGGACTGAACATCTGAAACATTTGTGGCCTCGCTGAGGTCGCCTTTTCGGGTAGATGATGAACAATTACTGGTAGTTATGATTTATAAATACGCTTGTTTGTTACAAGTAATGTAGGACTCAGATGAGAAGTATGGTGTGATAAGGTTGCTTTTTGAAGGAGCTTTCTAGTAAGAGGAACCCACCAAAGAGATGTCCCCATCCTCTGTATTCCCGGGATCCCACCCAGGAAGATCTCAACGTCCCCCAATGTAATTATGTAGATGAAGTTGGAGTGATATAAAGATGACTCCATACCGTATGAGATAATCATCTCTGAGGTCTCCAGGTGTTGGTGGTCATGTTCTCAGGATGTTGGTTTTTATGGTTTTAGAATGAAGAGCTGATTGATATCAAAGTTGAGGTGAAAAAGGAAGAAGAGGAGGAGCCGTATGTGACGGGTGGTCAGGAGAAAGATGTGGTCAAGGTGACAATTAAAGAGGAGGAACCTTCTCCAGATATCCACTCAGGTGAGTGATGAGCAGAAACTCTTCACACTTTACATGTATACAATATGGAGATAGAATGAGAAGAATGCATGTCATGTGACCAACCAATGAGGAGGAGATACTGTACACCATATGAAGGTCCATCTCCGTTCCCCAATATAACGTCATGTGACCTACACATGAGGAGGAGATACTGTACACCATATGAAGGTCCATCTCCATCCCTCAATATAACGTCACGATCCCCCCCATCATCTGATACACACATAGAAACAATGTATTCAGTCATTGTGTGTCTTCTACAGATGGATCCAGTAAGAGGAACCCACCAGAGAGATGTCCCCGTCCTCTGTATTCCCGTGATCCCACCCAGGAAGATCTCACCGTCCCCCACCATGATCAGGTAGGAGAAGTTGAAACATCTCCAACTTCCATCTTCCAAAATGTATGAGATGCTCCTCTGTAAGGTGTCTGGATATTAGTGACCATGTTTTATGGTTTTAGGGTGCAGATCTGGTTGATGTAAAAGCTGCAGTGAAAGAAGAGGAGGAGCCGTCTGTGACGGGTGATCAGCAGAGTACGGAGGAGGAGGACGTGGTTATGGACACAATTGAAGAGGAGGAACCTTCTCCAGATATCACCTCTTGTGATGGTGAGTAATATATGGTAAAGAATGGAGAACCAGGAGACCTTCACATCCTTGGGTACATTCCACCAAACCAATGCCGTCAGTCCATTTATCACTCGGCCTGCCAAAGTTGGTTTTGTTGTTTGAGACACTTAATGTGATTTATTTATTTTTGTCGTCGTCGTGATGGCTTTATAAATGTTTATACTAATGACAAACATTTCCTTCCAGCAGATGGACATGATGTCCATAGGAGGACGCACTTAGGGGAGAATCCATACTCTTGTTCAGAGTGCGGAAAGCGTTTCACAGAAAGGAGGACGCCATACACATGTACAGAGTGCGGGAAAGGTTACGCACGGAGGAGTACCTTCAACAATGGTCAGAACACTCAAACCGCCGAGCGTCCTTTTTCCTGTCCAGACTGCGGCAAGTGCTTCAGCCGAAAGTACTCTCTTACGCAGCATCGGAAGCTTCACCTAGACGAAGGCTTATTGTTCTGCTCGGAGTGCGGGAAAGGCTTTAAAACAAAATATGAACTCCAAGTACATTGGAGAGTTCACACGGGTGAACGCCCTTTCCAGTGCTTAGAATGCGGCAAGTCTTTCTCCCAGAAACAGCCGCTTCTTAGCCACCAGAGAATTCACACGGGTGAACGGCCTTTTCCGTGTTCGGAGTGTGGTAAATCGTTCTCGCACAGAGGAAACCTTCTGATTCACCAGAGAAGTCACACGGGTGAACGGCCGTTTCAGTGTTCGGAGTGCTGCAAATCTTTCTCGCGGAAAGGATTCCTTCTGATCCACCAGAGAAGCCACACCGGCGAGCGTCCTTTTTCCTGTTCGGTGTGCGGGAAAAGTTTCACTCAGAAGGCGGCCCTCACTATGCACCAGAAAACCCACGAGGGTGAGCGCCCGTTTTCCTGCGCGCAGTGCGGAAAATGTTTCACTCAGAAGGTGCACCTCATTACGCACCAGAAAAGTCACAGGGGCGAGCGTCCTTTTTCCTGCCCGGAGTGCCAGGAATCCTTCAAATATAAATCTGAACTCCTCCTGCATCACAGAGGTCACACCGGCGAGGAGGTCTTCTCCTGCCTCAAGTGTGAGAAGTCGTTCCTTACCAAGTTAAAATTTGATAAGCACCAGAGAGTTCACACCGGTGAGAAGCCCTTCTCCTGCTCTGAGTGCGGAAAACATTTTTCACAGAAAGCCAGCCTGCAAATTCACCAGAAAATCCACACCGGCGAGAAGCCATTTTGCTGCTCGTCGTGCGGGAAACGTTTCATACAGAAAGAACATCTAACTAAACATCAGAAAAGGCACAACCGGTAAAGCTAATGAGTGTCACCTATGGAGGACTTCATTGTTATGTTCATAGAGCAGATGTTACACTCTAAGGGGTCAGGCTGGCTAAGACTATACACCATATGAAGGTCCATCTCCATTCCTCAATATAACGTCATGTGACCAACAAAGGAGGAGGAGATACTGTACACTATATGAAGGTCCATCTCCATCCCTAAATGTAACGTCATGTGACCAACAAAGGAGGAGGAGATACTGTACACTATATGAAGGTCCATCTCCATCCCTAAATGTAACGTCATGTGACCAACAAAGGAGGAGGAGATACTGTACACTATATGAAGGTCCATCTCCATCCCTAAATGTAACGTCATGTGACCAACAAAGGAGGAGGAGATACTGTACACTATATGAAGGTCCATCTCCATCCCTAAATGTAACGTCATGTGACCAACAAAGGAGGAGGAGATACTGTACACTATATGAAGGTCCATCTCCATCCCTAAATGTAACGTCATGTGACCAACAAAGGAGGAGGAGATACTGTACACTATATGAAGGTCCATCTCCATCCCTAAATGTAACGTCATGTGACCAACAAAGGAGGAGGAGATACTGTACACTATATGAAGGTCCATCTCCATCCCTAAATGTAACGTCATGTGACCAACAAAGGAGGAGGAGATACTGTACACTATATGAAGGTCCATCTCCATCCCTAAATGTAACGTCATGTGACCAACAAAGGAGGAGGAGATACTGTACACTATATGAAGGTCCATCTCCATCCCTAAATGTAACGTCATGTGACCAACAAAGGAGGAGGAGATACTGTACACTATATGAAGGTCCATCTCCATCCCTAAATGTAACGTCATGTGACCAACAAAGGAGGAGGAGATACTGTACACTATATGAAGGTCCATCTCCATTCCTCAATATAACGTCATGTGTCCAACAAATGAGGAGGAGATACTGTACACCATATGGAAGGTAGAGACCTGCCAACACCTCCGTGGACTGGCCGCTTTGATGGTCTCGGCCTACTGATTTTTGTACGAGGCGACTTTACAGATACAAAGTATCGGCTTTCTTCTTCTGTTCTATTGAAATTAAAGATAATTATGACTGGTGTGGCGATTGTTATTGATGAGTAGATGATAGGGAATTTCAGGTTCTTGGAGAACGAGGATGAGGCCACCCTCGGCTACCTGATGTGGATGGGAGCCAATGATAGCGTAGGTAATACTGTGTAACGTTTTTGATGGGGGGAGGGGGGGGGGCCCAATATATGACATGGACCTTAACTTCACACTGGAAGGTCCTCATTCGCCCCTCACGTACGCGGGTCATGATAAAGGTCTACAACATCGTGGTTGACATTCAGTCCTTGGACACATGGAGGACGTTATCTCAGGCCACACAATGGAGTCAGAACATGCGAAGGGTTAAAGGACGATGCCATCACGTCATACCCAGGCGCACGGGGTCACGGATTGGGTAGGGTTGCCACCTGTCCAGGATTCACCCGGACAGTCCGGGTTTTTGAATGCTGTGTCCGGGGATTCATGGCAGCAGAAACCCGGACACAGGATGTCAGGCAGACGGCGGGCAACCAAAATGAAGATAAGGCTACAGGCCCCACCCCCCCCACCACTCACTGTTCAGGTTTGGCTTGAAGAAAAAGTTGCAACCCTAGGGTCGGGGCCTTCAAACAGATCAACGCATTGTTCTTCATGATATGTTTTACTATGGGTTGAAGTTGAACCGAAGTCCTCCCACCGGCCAGTCACAGGACGACGGCGTCACGTCACACCCGGGGGGGTACGAAATTATGGATCGGGGCCTTCAAACAGATCAACGCATTGTTCTTCATGATATGTTTTACTATGGGTTGAAGTTGAACCGAAGTCCTCCCACCGGCCAGTCACAGGACGACGGCGTCACGTCACACCCGGGGGGGTACGAAATTATGGATCGGGGCCTTCAAACAGATCAACGCATTGTTCTTCATGATATGTTTTACTATGGGTTGAAGTTGAACCGAAGTCCTCCCACCGGCCAGTCACAGGACGACGGCGTCACGTCACACCCGGGGGGGTACGAAATTATGGATCGGGGCCTTCAAACAGATCAACGCATTGTTCTTCATGATATGTTTTACTATGGGTTGAAGTTGAACCGAAGTCCTCCCACCGGCCAGTCACAGGACGACGGCGTCACGTCACACCCGGGGGGGTACGAAATTATGGATCGGGGCCTTCAAACAAGATGGAAATATTATTTTGTAGTTGTGTGTCATGATGTAGACAACATAACTGAGGATGACGGCATAACAATCACCACAAGAGGGCAATGTTTCTTATTGTGCATAGAATGGTCAGGCAGGAAGTGATGTAAACACACAGGAAGTGATGTAAAGTAAGGACAGGAAGTGATGCCGGATAAACCCAAGTTATATACTGTAGTGTAAAGACAGGAAGTCTCTGAGCAAGAGTACAAGGAAGCACAGAGAAGACATTGTTGGATCACACAGAGGAGGTAATGAGGTCATATTTATACCCGATACCTTTCCCTCTAATCTCCGATACCTTTCCCTCTAATCTCCGATACCTTTCCCTCTAATCTCCGATACCTTTCCCTCTAATCTCCGATACCTTTCCCTCTAATCTCCGATACCTTTCCCTCTAATCTCCGATACCTTTCCCTCTAATCTCCGATACCTTTCCCTCTAATCTCCGATACCTTTCCCTCTAATCTCCGATACCTTTCCCTCTAATCTCCGATACCTTTCCCTCTAATCTCCGATACCTTTCCCTCTAATCTCCGATACCTTTCCCTCTAATCTCCGATACCTTTCCCTCTAATCTCCGATACCTTTCCCTCTAATCTCCGATACCTTTCCCTCTAATCTCCGATACCTTTCCCTCTAATCTCCGATACCTTTCCCTCTAATCTCCGATACCTTTCCCTCTAATCTCCGATACCTTTCCCTCTAATCTCCGATACCTTTCCCTCTAATCTCCGATACCTTTCCCTCTAATCTCCGATACCTTTCCCTCTAATCTCCGATACCTTTCCCTCTAATCTCCGATACCTTTCCCTCTAATCTCCGATACCTTTCCCTCTAATCTCCGATACCTTTCCCTCTAATCTCCGATACCTTTCCCTCTAATCTCCGATACCTTTCCCTCTAATCTCCGATACCTTTCCCTCTAATCTCCGATACCTTTCCCTCTAATCTCCGATACCTTTCCCTCTAATCTCCGATACCTTTCCCTCTAATCTCCGATACCTTTCCCTCTAATCTCCGATACCTTTCCCTCTAATCTCCGATACCTTTCCCTCTAATCTCCGATACCTTTCCCTCTAATCTCCGATACCTTTCCCTCTAATCTCCGATACCTTTCCCTCTAATCTCCGATACCTTTCCCTCTAATCTCCGATACCTTTCCCTCTAATCTCCGATACCTTTCCCTCTAATCTCCGATACCTTTCCCTCTAATCTCCGATACCTTTCCCTCTAATCTCCGATACCTTTCCCTCTAATCTCCGATACCTTTCCCTCTAATCTCCGATACCTTTCCCTCTAATCTCCGATACCTTTCCCTCTAATCTCCGATACCTTTCCCTCTAATCTCCGATACCTTTCCCTCTAATCTCCGATACCTTTCCCTCTAATCTCCGATACCTTTCCCTCTAATCTCCGATACCTTTCCCTCTAATCTCCGATACCTTTCCCTCTAATCTCCGATACCTTTCCCTCTAATCTCCGATACCTTTCCCTCTAATCTCCGATACCTTTCCCTCTAATCTCCGATACCTTTCCCTCTAATCTCCGATACCTTTCCCTCTAATCTCCGATACCTTTCCCTCTAATCTCCGATACCTTTCCCTCTAATCTCCGATACCTTTCCCTCTAATCTCCGATACCTTTCCCTCTAATCTCCGATACCTTTCCCTCTAATCTCCGATACCTTTCCCTCTAATCTCCGATACCTTTCCCTCTAATCTCCGATACCTTTCCCTCTAATCTCCGATACCTTTCCCTCTAATCTCCGATACCTTTCCCTCTAATCTCCGATACCTTTCCCTCTAATCTCCGATACCTTTCCCTCTAATCTCCGATACCTTTCCCTCTAATCTCCGATACCTTTCCCTCTAATCTCCGATACCTTTCCCTCTAATCTCCGATACCTTTCCCTCTAATCTCCGATACCTTTCCCTCTAATCTCCGATACCTTTCCCTCTAATCTCCGATACCTTTCCCTCTAATCTCCGATACCTTTCCCTCTAATCTCCGATACCTTTCCCTCTAATCTCCGATACCTTTCCCTCTAATCTCCGATACCTTTCCCTCTAATCTCCGATACCTTTCCCTCTAATCTCCGATACCTTTCCCTCTAATCTCCGATACCTTTCCCTCTAATCTCCGATACCTTTCCCTCTAATCTCCGATACCTTTCCCTCTAATCTCCGATACCTTTCCCTCTAATCTCCGATACCTTTCCCTCTAATCTCCGATACCTTTCCCTCTAATCTCCGATACCTTTCCCTCTAATCTCCGATACCTTTCCCTCTAATCTCCGATACCTTTCCCTCTAATCTCCGATACCTTTCCCTCTAATCTCCGATACCTTTCCCTCTAATCTCCGATACCTTTCCCTCTAATCTCCGATACCTTTCCCTCTAATCTCCGATACCTTTCCCTCTAATCTCCGATACCTTTCCCTCTAATCTCCGATACCTTTCCCTCTAATCTCCGATACCTTTCCCTCTAATCTCCGATACCTTTCCCTCTAATCTCCGATACCTTTCCCTCTAATCTCCGATACCTTTCCCTCTAATCTCCGATACCTTTCCCTCTAATCTCCGATACCTTTCCCTCTAATCTCCGATACCTTTCCCTCTAATCTCCGATACCTTTCCCTCTAATCTCCGATACCTTTCCCTCTAATCTCCGATACCTTTCCCTCTAATCTCCGATACCTTTCCCTCTAATCT